AATCTTCTCGCTTTCCTTAACAGAAATGTGTCTAGATTTCATCTTCACATACGCCACATTATGCTCTTTCACTTCGAGAAATGTTGGAAGGCGGCACGCTCATAACGTGATCTTAGCGAACTTCTCGGCGATGGGGCAGTCAGCCAAAATCCAATAAAGAATGGAATTTCCTCCCACGGTTGCCCTATTCACAAACAGAAACTCCTATGGATTATCACGTTGATCGCCCGTTGAAAAATTGGTTAACGAATACAACTTTCGATGACGTAGATGGCTCGATGGCCAACGTGATCGCCTCCAAGAATCGAAACTTCTTCGCCTGTGGAATCCGACCGCCCAACAAATGGGAAGCAGAGCTTGACGTATATGGTAGATATGTTCCGGAGCAATTATTTGAACATGTCTTTGCTAGATATTTCTATCGTTTCTTTGAGTAAAACTTGCTGAAAAAAAAAAGAATTTCCTTACTACTGTATTCTACTTCATATGCTCTCAAAACAGTGGTGGAGAACGAATGACTGAAGGGATGCTCCTTTCTCGAGCGTTCTCTTTCAGAAAGACAATGGAGATTATGCTTCGCACTCATCCACTTCTCCCACCCTTGAAAAAGAGTTGACAGAAAGTAAGTTAATGATAAGGACTCTATTTCATTTTATAATCGAATTCAATCAACTGTCCATTTGTCAGAACCAGCAGCCACAACTCAAAGCTAACCGGAGAACGCGGTCAAAACTGGACCAAAGGATTTCATTAGCGAGGAATGCGATTATCCGCATGCTCTTCGGAAGTGCCTTCCCATCGGTCGTCGTCTTCTCTCACTGGCTGGTCCACATAAGGATCTATCTACAACAGACCAGATTGCAATCGCTTATTCACCTTATTCCCTTGTTCCTTAAAAGTTTAGGAAGATTTCCGCTTTTGAAATTTTCATTTGCTGGTTCTCTATTTGCTCTGTATCGTCCTAATCAACTACATCAACTTCTACAGCTATCCAGAATGACATCATTTGAAAAGCATGCTAACAGTCGATGGGGCAAAGGTGTGCTTTTCATAATAGTCTTGAAGAGGGTAACGGAACTTCTCCCCTATCGCGGCATTCTCCCTTGCGGCATGCGGCAAATGCCACTGCAATTACCGTACTCTCGCCAATCGATAGGACGCGATATTTTTCGTTGATTGGCTT